AGAACTGTTCGTTATTCCGTATCGCCAGAGACGGCACGATGCCAACACGGTGTGTGTCATGGCAAGGAGACATGCTGCTGGAAAAAGCCCTGGGATGCGGCAGAGGCTGTTCTCTAGGTGCCAGAATTATACTTCTGGGGCAACTAAGGGATGTTCATAAGTCAGAGATATGACATCAAGGCTTCTCTACCCACTCACATTGTTCCTAAGTTGATGCAGTACTCTACCCTCTGAAGTCCCATCAAGGCTGGCACGGCACGAACAGTGTCCAGTATGCCTTACAGTAAATTAAATTAAAAAAATTAAATGACATGTCAAATACATTAAATGCACATATTTTTGGACTCGGCGCCTCCTCTTCAAGGAATTTCCTTCAATATACTAATGCAAGCATATAAAAAGTGCAAGGATGTTCATTGGCAGTGTAGTGCGTGACAGCAAAAAGTCTGGAAGTGACCATCCGTAGGGAATTAGTTAAGTAAATTGTGGCACAGCCACACAAGAACACCAGGCAGCCATACGAGCTGGAAAGGAAGGGTCTCCGAGGGATACTATTAGGTAAGAAAAGCTAGGCTGGAGGATGAGCTTAGACTTGTAGCCAAAGGAGCTTGCTGGAGCTCCCAGCTCCACTCCTCTGTCCCCCCACCAGCCCTGGGCCCTTCCAGTCAAGTGAAATTAGTGCTCTGTGGGAGCAGCCACACCCCTCCCTACTTGAAAAAGGGGGTGTGAGGAAGGGCAAAGGCGCTGCAGTGGGGCCCCTTAATAGATAAGCTCCACCAATCCAGAAAGCGGACAATGGAGTCCCTACCAATTGGGAGCGAAGAAGTGAGTGAGGGGCGGGACATGAAGTCAGGAGTGTTACTCTGGTATGGCTCCCTCCATAAGGAAACATTAGGAGTGGGGAATAAGCGTTCCCACCTAACAAGGATGCACAGGGACCTGAGAGCAGGGGTGCTTCTAGGAAGGGCACTGGGAGGTTGGCATCAGGGGTGGTGGCAGAGAAGGGACACTTATTTTGGTATAGAGGTGCACAAGTAAAGGGTCATTTTTAGGATATCCTCTACTTAGAAGTGATTTCCTCCAAAACTTCTGGTGAGGGCACCAGCAAAGTCCTAGGTTCACAAGTTCTGCAATGGACTTACCTCGTTTTTGTGTTTTTTACTGGAGATCTGGATTTCAGATGTTGTCATGGGACCAAGTAGGTGACACTTACTTCTCTGTTCCATAATTTTCTTGAGTGCCCATGCCCAATGGTTCAAACCAATCTCTAGCCCCACTGCGTGCCCCAGACTTTTCTCTTATGCTGGACTCAAGACCTTCCTTGACCTCTTATAAAAACTTACCCCTTTCTCTCAGGAGCCTATCCCTGGTGTCTGAAACGTTTAACTGAAATCATTCCCGGGGCTTAAAGCAGCGTCTCCCAGACGTCAGGTGTTTGGGACCCACCTCAGGATTTTTGCTAACACTGAGGACCATCAGCCCTTTTACTTACATAGTATTTTAATTAAATGACTCACTTGTAAAATTTCAGTACATTTGTTTTAAAAGGATACTTTATGTCACTACTGGAAATGATATTACTTCCCATAAAAAGAAAGAGCCTTAAAAATAAATGTAGTAAACTCAAAACAACTTTAAATTCTAGCTACAAACTATGGCCTAATCAAAGATCTGTGTTTTCTTTTAGTTAAAAAGATATTGATAATTGTTAGAGACAGAATGGCACCAGACTGGGTCTTTTTCCTTGGTGGACTCAGACGGGTAAGAATGGGGACTTCCTTACTAAGTGGTTCAATGTTATTTAATGCCGTATCAATGTACCACTCAAAATCATGCCTTATAACATTTGAATTCCACACTTTGGGAAAGAATGGGTTAGAGCTTTTTTTTTTGTCTAGACAGTTTCAGTTATGTGTCTATATGCATTTGTGTCATCTGAGCAGAACAATATATGAAGCCATTGTCACCTGGAGTTTGTGGCCCTGACGAAGTTGGCATTTGGCATTCCAGCTGATATTAAAATAACAGCATTCAGTATGGTACATGAGCTTTTTCTTAGAGGGTCAGAAATGCATATGTTTGGAGGCAGCATGTGGTGACAGCTAAGAATGATGCAGGCCTAAACAAAGGGGAATTTGTCCTTTTTAAAAGAATTGGAAGAATCTCTGAGCTGGTTCGTTGGGTTTTTCCAAGTAACGATATGCAGAATCAGATCTGGGACCTCTCAGATTGAGTTCTGCAGCCACACAGTTCCTGGCTCATTGTTAATGACTCCTGGGTCTCAAGCAGTGGCCCCTGTGTGAGCCCACAAGCCACGATCAGTCCCAGGAAGGAATAATGGGGTGGGGGGGGGTGAGCATGGTCAAAGAGGAGAGCTGACAGACAAAGGGTGGAGAGTTTGTGCAGTGCATGTCAACTGGAAGAGGTGGGGGAGTTGTTGCCAGAAAAAAGGCTGGTTTAAATGATTCTGCTTGAGAAATATCAGTGGATGCTTAAACTACCAGAGTTCAAGTTTTGTGAGAGATAGGATCTTTATCTCAAATATCTCCCGACACGTGCTACAACACAGATGAACCTTGTAAACATTATGCTCAATGAAAGAAGACAGACACAAAAGCTCACATATGGCATGATTTCATTTATATGAAATATCCAGAATAGGCAAATCCACAGAGACAGAAGGTAGACTAGTGGTTGCCAGGAGCTGGGGCAGGGAGGAATGGGGAGTGACTGCTTACTGGGTATAGAATTTTCTTCTTGGGTGATGAAATATTCTAGAACTAGATAATAGTGATGGATGTATGACATTGTGAATGGACTAAGTGAAATGACATTTGAATGATATTGTGAATGTCACTAATGGTAAATTTTATGTTACATGTCTTTTGCTACAATAAAAAATATCTCCCCCATAAATTACTTTTTAATTGCTAAGGAAAAATGTACAGTGAAAGAATCTGGAAAACCATAACCAAGTGATTAAATTTAGCATCACCGATAGTGGGACAGACTGACATATTCTGCCTCCTGGATACACTGAGGACACACATGGCTTATGTAGCCTTCCTGCCAAAAAAAAAAACAAACCCGAATCAAATCATGAGGAAACATCAAGTACAAATTTGAGGGACGTTCTACAAAATAAATGGTCAATACTCTTAAATAACATCAATGTCATGAAAGACAAAGAAAGGTTGAGGAAACATTACAGATTAGAGGAGACTAAAGAGACATGACAACAAAATATAAGACATCATCTTAGATTGGGCCATGAAAAAATAAAGCTACAGGACATTATTGAGATAATTGGAGAAATTTGAATATGCACAGTAGTTGAGATACTAGTATTGTATCATGTTAAATTTCTTAATTGTGATCATCATACTGTGGTTATGTAAAAGAAAAAGTCCTTTTTTTTCCAGAAATTTGTGTCAAAATATTTTGACGTGAAGAGGTATGGTTTAAGCAACTTATTACCCTCAAGTGGTTCAGAAAAAATATGTGTGTGTGTGTATTAACCCACTTAAAACTGGGGCTAAAATTTCATCATAGTGAAAACAAGGTCTGATTTGGAATATATTTTAAAAAGTGAAACGAAAAATTAATTTTGTTTTCTACAAATTCTTAGTAATAGTATCTGGTCACAAATTATTGGAATGAAAGAAGAATGAACTGAGTGTTGATTTTAGGGGGCTGCATTCTTCCAACCAGACTGTTTGATGTGATATCTTCACTTGACATTTGAGTTGCGTCGACCAACATAATGGTCATGTTTGTGAAAATGTTCAAAAACTTCACCAATTTTCCCTATTTTAATCCGTTAGTATTCAAATCGTTCTTTTGAATGGTTGTCTTTTTACATCATCCGTGTTTGTTTATTTCCTCTTTTATTGTGAATTAGTCCAGCTCAGACAAGTCCTCATACGTTCATAATGCCTTTGGTGACTTTTGGGCAGTTCTCCAGTGTCACTTTCATCAGTTTGGTACAACTGTGGCTCTTTTACAAGATTTGCAGTTTTATTTTGCAATTACTTCCTCTTGTATATTATTCAGAGTAGAAAAATTACCCTGAAATCTCAGTAGTTTAACATCCAAAGACGAATTTCTCAATCATAATATCTGTCCACGATGTGAGGCTTCAGTATATTATAGCTGCACCATCTCCAGCTACCTCTTCAGGTGGAGGGAGCACGAAAAACACACACCTGCTCTGCTAGGTTTCAGCCCTTGCTGTGCAATTCTGACCCATGAGTCAGACTTAGTCTCAAGGGCCCAACCTCACAGCAAGGGTGTCTGGGAAATGTAGTCTTCGTGGGTAATCAGAGAGAGGAAAATAAAATGGCAGCTGTCTGCCACACGCTGTGTATTTGTATTTTGTGATCCAACGTTGTTCAAGTGGGGATAGATACTAAGAGTAGGGGTGTTTGAGTGGGGATTGATTTTATAAATGGTCAGATCATTAGGAAATAGTTTTGTATTGTGATCACTTTTGCTTTGTTACTCTGATAATGAATACTCAGATGACAAGCTTCTGGGGCATGGGTGATCAGGAACAGCATCTTAGCACACACAGAGCTACTCCTTCTGACCCCGGGCCCACGGTGTGCTGAACAGGCACTGTGCTTTTCTGAATTAGGGATTTTAACTCGTCCCCACCCCTCCTCAAGGAATATGTGACATCTGGATCCATCAACAAACAGCTCCTCATGCCAGACTTTTTGTCCAGTAAAATCTCCAGACAAGGAAAGATGAAAAGAACTGTTTTTGATTTTCTTTCCTTTTTTTTTAAAAAAAAAAAAAAAAACAAAAAAAAACATGACTGGTAAGGAGATCTTAGCCCTTGACTTGGTTTTATCAGCACCACGCTCTCCCAAGTGAGCCACACACCGGCCCTATGTTTTTGATTTTCTAAAACCCCCTTTAAAGTTGCTCGTTTTTCGTTTTCATTTTGCTTTGTCATTGACACGTTTGGTTTTCTCTCTCTCACCTTCTTTAGTACGTGCCCCTCTGGGCTTTCAACGTGACCGCTCTCTACCCCACCCTGTGAAAATGTTGGTGCTTCTCGCCTTCATCATCGTCTTCCACATCACCTCCGCAGCGTTGCTGTTCATTGCCACCATCGACAACGTGAGTTCTGTTTCCTACTGACCGTCTCGGTATCCCAGAGTCCATAGAATCAGCATTGAGAACTCATCAAGGTGACCACGATTTGGGGTTGTCCTCCCTACCAAGGCATACCATCTCCTGAGCCCAGGCCTGAGGACCTTGGCCTAAGTGTGGGGGTTCTGGAGCATCCTATGTGTCTGAGAGTGGACTAACAGTATAATGCCCGCTGGACTGATAAGGTATCCTAACACCAGCTAACTGTATGGATTACAAGGAGATTATTACTACTACTACTACCACTATTATTATTATTATTATTATTGATGGGTGGTTACTTACAGGGAACAGATTGGGTAAACTATCAATCCCAGTGCTGTGCAGCTGCTTTCTCTGCAGCCACGGTGGGGAGGGACTCAGAGACAAAAGTGGAGCTATGCCAAAGAAAGAAAGGCTGTGGAAGTGGAAGATTCCCAGGTGCCTCTCAGCCTCTTGTTGCTTGTCCTTGGGGTTGCTAGAATCACTCCCCTTACTCTACACAAGCATAGCATTCTGTTCCTTTCCTTTCCCCAGTTGCTAAGCAACTTGTGCAGGGGAGAGATTGTAACTATTGAAGCCAGAGCTCTGAAGGCCACGAGGATGGAGTGAGTTCTGACCAGGATTCCTGCACATGACTAGGTTTGGATGGCAGGTCTGGAGAGCAGAGACATTTCTGATTCCCCTGCAGAGCCTGGTATAATGCATGACTCTAGGAAGCACTTCAAGGATGTTGTGTGAATTCAACTTTCTTCTGGGTCAGAGTTCTCAACCTTGGCACTGTTGTCATTTTGGTCTGGATAATCCTTTGTTATGGAGGCTGTCTTGTGTATTGTAGGATATTTAGCAGCATTCTTGGCCTCAACGCACTAGATGCCAGCAGCAACCCTCCACCCTCCGTTGTGACAACCAAAAATGTCTCCAGACATTGCCAGATGTCCTGAGAGGAGCACAATCACCATCCTTTGAGGGCCACTGTCCTAGATCCCCCAGGTGACCCATTCCAGTTGACCTCTGCTCCCTACCCTGACATCTCCTTACTAGCCAGGAGCCCATGTTACTAACTCACTGGGCCAGCAGAGCTCATGCTTGGACCTTTCTAGACTCTACATGTGCCCCCATGAAAATTTAACTCTTTCCTTTGGTATCAAGCTTGTGGCCACATGGCAGAAATGTATTTAATAAGTAACCTCTTGGCATAGGTTAATACCCCCTGGCAGGAAATGAAGCTTTTTAATAGAGGTCGTGTGTGGCCCACACCCCGATCCAAAGGCTTGGCTTTAATTCTGATTATTTCTGATGGCAGAGATACTTAAGGGGCAGAAACACTGTTCAGAAAGCCAAAAAAGTGTGGCCACCAACTCAGCCTACCTAGGGACTCCTGTTGATTAATGATTATAACAATAATAACATAAATGACAATACCTGTCATTTAGAGAGCAGCTGCCATGGCCAGGCCCTGTGTAAGCCCTCTTATGTACATCATCCCTGTGATCCTCACCCCAGCTCTACGAGACAGGGGCTCTCCTTGTACTGGTTTGCAGGTGGCAGAACTGAGCCTCAGGGCAGTTCAGGTGCTTGCTGGAGCTTATACTGCAGTAAGTGGCAGAACTAGGATTTGAACCATTCCAGAGACTCCTGATCCTAGATTCCATCGGGGGAGATGAACACAGTGATCATGTTTGGATTTCAGAGGTTCTTGCCAAGTTGCCATGAGTGGCTTGGGCAGAGATCACTTTGATGCTCTGGGTTAAAGTATTTGGACCCCACCATCCAAAGAGCTGATGGTCTTGGTATTGAATGTTCTGTTAGAATCTCCTTTTTCTGTGTTTAGCATCTAGTCGTTTGGGATCCTGAAGAGGTCCTAGACTTAATGAAAAGCATAGACAGACATTAGGGGCAGAAAAACCATCAGTTAACCCTGTCGAGCACCCTGGGGTATTTATATTGCCATAGTACTTACTGAGAAGATGCAGATGGACTTTTTTGCCCATCAGAGAGTCAGATGGTATTCACTGTGAGTTTGGAATTGTGCTTGGGCTGGGCACATAGTGGGAGCTCAGTGAACATTTGTTGACTGGATGGATAGGTAGGGGAGATTCCAGTCTTTGGGTGGTGGGGGTGGAGGGAGCTGCAGACCACAGAGAGAAATGAACACACTGGACCGAAGGCAGGAGAGTCTGGTCTGCTCATTCCATCCATCACCGGCTCTCCCCCGCTGAATTTCCTCCTCTTCTAACTCCGCTCTCACGTCTCCCCTGCAGTTCTGGTGGAGCTGACCACCATCTACTCTTACTACCTCCAACTCGCCCTCATCTCTTCTCCACCCTGTGAACACCTGGGCTACCTCTTATCCTTCAGCAGACCAGCAGCCTGGGCATCACCTGGAGCTAGTTAGAAGTGCAGGATCCCAGGCCCCACCCCAGACCTCCTGAATCAGAATCTGCATTTGAACAGGAGCCCCAGGTGGTTTGCCTGTGCACTGCAGTTTCAGAAGCTCTGGAGCCCAATTCTTACCAATGCTTACCTGCTGTGCCTCATTAGGAGTCAGTGTTTGCATCATTAACAAACAGGCTTCCTCTCTGTTTCCCCTTCGTGTTATAGGCCTGGTGGGTTGGAGAAGAGTTTTTTGCAGATGTCTGGAGAGTATGCATCAACAACACGAACTGTACGGAAATCAATGACACCTTTGAAGGTGAGTGCGGATGAATGAAGCCGATTGAGAAGTGCTGACCCCTCACCCTCCTCTCCATTCAGGCACACTGAGGTGGGCCTGGCTGAGCATGCTCAGTGCACCCCAGAGCAGGGACAACCCAAGCTGGAGATGGGAGGGGTGTGCAGAAGCTGGAGGCTGGAGGGGAATCAACTCCAGCTAAATTGGGCTTCATCCCTTCTCTTCTTTTCTTGACAAAGCAGCTTCACTCCTTTGACAGCGTCAGCTCTCATCTAGAATTTTCTCCCACTCCTCTTTTATCCAAGCCTCACCTCTAAATAGACTGAAATTTACACTCTGGTCACTTTTCCCCATCTCAGCAGCCTCCTGTGGCAGAAACCAGACAGCTGGCTTCTGTCCACTTTGTTCACGAGCTGTGTGATCTTACCCTGGACAGGTCATTTGAGCTCTTGGAATCTCATTATCTGCAGTTGTAAATTGGAGATGATGATGCCTCTGCCCTGCCTCCCTCTCGAAATGAGCTAAAATACATGAAAGCGCATTGAAATATAGAAAATCCCACCTAAAAACATGCTGTCCACTCTTTTTCATTGCAAAGTGCATGGTTCTGTTTTTTATTATAAGAATGATGGAAGCTGTACTTTAGGATGCCAGTTGTCTGATAAAATACAGGATGCGTAGTTAAGTTCAATATTTCAGATAAACAACAAATAAATTTTTTTAGTGTAAGTATGTCCCAAATATTACATGAGACAACCTTATACTAAAATTTTTCTTTATCTGGTGTTCAAATTTCACGGGGCATCCCGTCTTGTGGTTTTTGTTTGTTTGCCAAATCTCACAATGCTATTTGGGGAGCACGGGACCCTATTCCTTAGGTCCCTAAGGCTCACCATGCCCTCAGTAACAATATCAACGTTCATAGTAAAGGCAATACAATCACCAATGGACAGCGCCACGTACCGAAGGTTTGCTGTGAGGCACAAGGCTAAGTCCTTTACATAGTGACCTCATAGACCCGTCAGATAGGGACCATCGGCCCCACTTTAAGATGGGGTAACTGAGACCCAGAGTGGTTAAGTTACCCAATGTCACACAGTCCAGAGCAAATGATGAACTAGGATTCCAATCTAGATGTGACCAACTCTGAAAAGAGCGGTCCGTGAACTGTCAGCCCCAGGCCTGTTTTTATATGGCCCGTGAGCTAAGAACAGTTTTTACATTTTTAAAGAGTTGTTAAGGGCCGGCCTGTGGCTCACTCAGGAGAGTGCAGCACTGGTAGCGCCGAGGCTGCGGGTTCGGATCCTATATAGGGATGGCCGGTGCACTCACTGGCTGAGCGTGGTGCAGACCACACCGTGCCGAGGGTTGCGATCCCCTTACCGGTCAGAGAGAGAGAAAAAGAAAAAGTTGTTAAAAAAAAAACCCCACAAAAACAAAACAAAAAATATGTGACAAGATACTGTATGGTCCACAGAGCCTAAAATCTTTATTGTCTGACCCTTTACTGAAAAATATTTGTTGACTCCCCCACTGTAAAACAGCTTGCTTTTTTCCTTATGTACATTTATTTTAAAGGGAGCTTTGCATCCCTACCGTAAGTGATAAACTGGTACCAATTGCCATAAAAGAAGGAAAGCTTTAAAAAACTTCTAGATGTTGCTAAAGTCTGGCCATACACGCTTACCTCCTGAAGGCTGCAAGCCTGTTTCTGGTTCTTTCCATGTTAAAAAATGAAACTAAATAACTGAAATCCTGATAGTAGCAGGTGTAAAAGTGCTAGGGCGCCTAATGGAGAGCTCCTCCCTAAGGTCCCCAGAATTTAACAACAGCAAAGTGAACATCCTCCTCTTTAAGTGAGTTTCTGTTGTTTGGTGCCCTCATTGGGCTCCCCCTACCCTAATTCCAGGGACCACCAGTGTCACATTTCCCAACTTTGAGAAACTTTGTTCTAAAACATATCTTTTTGTAAAACCATGTTTTTCACATTTGCCCCATCGTACAAGTCACCTGGAATACTTGCCAAAAATACAGATTCCTGGTGCCCATCCTGGTGCCCATCCTGGAAAGATGGTAGCAGACTCTATCGAGAGGCTCAGAAATCTGTATTCGTTTTTTTTTTTTTTTTTTTCGTTAAATTTTTATTTTGTCAATATACACTGTATATGATTATTATGGCCCGTCACCGACACACAATGATTCTTAATAAACTAAATTTTTTTATTATGACTTATGGCTCCATGTTGTAAATAAAAAAACATTTTACCAATAGTTTGGAATTCTCATCAATAACAATTATTGACCACCCAAGTTAGTGAATTTCTGTGTGTATGCACTGAGTAGGGGAGAAAAGCAAGTGCCTTGGACATACTTTGTAAGGAACTATCGGCTTGTCATGCAAGCAAATGACAACTATGTAAACAAACTAACTTAACCACTATATATGTCATTTTTTACAAGAGACGGTCTTAAACTTTGTATATAAATTTTAATTTTCTTTTTTTTTTAATTTTAATTTTCAGAGCGCCGCCGCGCTCCCAAGCGGCGCACTGTAGCAGTGCGCCACCGGGCCGGCCCTTGTTTTTTAAATTATATTTTTATTTTAAAATTTAGTTGCGCATAGTTGTGGGATACAGTGTATTGTTTCAATACATGCATATATTGTACTATGATTTACTTAAGGTGAATAGCATATCCATCACCTGACCATTTATCTTTTCTTTATGGTGATTACAGTCAAGATCCTCTTTGCTAGCTGTTTAGAAATATACAATATAATATTATTAGCTGTAATCAGTCTAGAACACCAGAACTTATTCTTCTTATCTACCTGTAACTTTGTACCCATTAACCTACCGCTTCCTCTTCCCTTGCCTGCCTTTCCTTCCAGGCTTCCAGTAACCAGTATTCCACTTTCTACTCCCATGAGAACCACCTTTTTTTTAGATCAGGAATCTGGGATTTTTTTTTAATGGACGTATAATTTACAAACAAGGAAATGCATACTTCCTAATGGCTCAGTTCAATGAGTTCTGACAATTGTATATACACCCATGTGACCACCATCCAAAACAAGGTAGAGAACATTCCTGATACCCCAGAAAGTTCTCTCAGGCCCCTTTCCACTCAATTCCCACTATCCCCTCCCCTGAGGGCAACCACTTTTGACTTCTGTCGCTGTAGTTTACTATATTCCTGTTCTTGGACTTCATACCAGTAGAGTCATCTGGTGTGAGTGTTGGGGGGTGGGTAGTCTGGCCTCTTTCACTCACCATAAGGAATAGGGGGAGGGGCTAGGTGCTGTCCAGGTGACCCCAATGTGCAGCCAGAATGAATGAAGATCCACTGCTCTAAATGTTTCATTAAGTACCTACAAATTACACTCCTTTCAATCAGTTTCAGGCAAAATTGCAAAAAAAATAAATAGAATCTCCTGCGTCCTGGGATAACATCCAGCCGCTCCCTCTGCTGACACTCTCTAAACTCTTGTGTAGTTCACTCCTCCTTTGCAGCCCGATGAGAGGGGAGCAGTTAGTATCCCTGCCCCCATTTTACAGGTGAGGAAACTGAGGCTTGACTCCTTTGGTATACCATGGTGCATACATTCAGCTGTGTCCTTCCCCCCATGTGGCACCTATCACCTGAGACCTCCTCTCTCCACTGAAAATTCCCTGTACTGAGCCCCAAACCCTCACGCCCCAACCTGTAAAGAAAGAAACTCCCCTTCTCTTTTCCTAAGTAGCGATCACAAACGTCCCCCTCTCGTGGGCTTACAGGGTGCTATGGAGTCTGTAGAGCACTTTCAGGTCACTCAGTCTTATGAGCCCCAAGTCCCTGAGAATCCTTCTAGGGGTCTTTCTAAAGTGAAGACCCCAAGGCCCCATCCTGACTTCTCAAATCCGAATCTGCCAGGTTGGAACCTGGGGGTTATATTTTAAGAAATCCCCCATTCACAAGCCAAGCATTTGGGAGCCGTGACCCAGACCAGGAAGAACGCAGGGCAGGTGGTTCTCGCTCCATTTTCCAGATAAGGAATTTGAGGATGGTCCGGTCAAATGCATGAGGGGACAGTAGAGGGAGGAAGATCTGGAAGTGTCCTTGGCTGCCCTGTGCTCAGACCATGTAGACGACAGCCTGAGCCCCTGCCTGTTAGCCTCTGTCATTCCCACTCTGGAGCCCCTATGGTCACTATGCGCCCCCGCCCTCTGCCCACAGAGTACTCCACACTGCAGGCCGTCCAGGCCACCATGATCCTGTCCACCATTCTCTGCTGCATCGCCTTCCTGATCTTCGTGCTCCAGCTCTTCCGCCTCAAGCAGGGAGAGAGGTTCGTTTTGACCTCCATCATCCAGCTCATGTCGTGTAAGTAGAACGAGGGGCTTCCCGGAATCGGCGCTCCCTCCCCAGCCACGCAGGAGCAGAAGCCAGGAGGAGGGTGACAATTAAGGACTTAGAAAGAAGACGTTGGCTGCTGTGCTATGGTGGGATGTTTTATATTTGGGAGTCTGGAGCTGGTTAGGGGTCAGGGAAGGCATCCTGGAGACATAAAGTCTGAGCTGGGATCTATAGGGAGAGTAGCAGCTGCCATCTACCATGTCCCAGAGGGGAGGGAACAGTGTGCCAGGTAGAGGGAACAGTATACAGTGTCTGCCTGGGGCACTTTGGGTTTCACATTTTTTTTGTTTTGTTTTGGTTTTATTTTTGTATTGATTTGGATTTTGGCAGCTGACCGGTACAGGAATCCAAACCCTGGACCTTGGTGTTATCAGCACCACGCTCTAACCAATTCAGCTAACCAGCCAGCTCCTTGAGGCACTTTGAACAGCCAGGGCACCATCCCTCCCAGGCCACAGGCAGGGAATTAAAGTGTTTTAAAGTGCGAAAGACCCTGGAAGGTCACACGGTCTTTTGAGGGCCCCAGCTCCACCAGAATCCCTCCAGAGGACTTTCTAAAGCACAGACCCCCAAGGTTCCAACCTGACTTCTCGAATCAGAATCTGCCAGGCTGGAACCTGGGAATTTGTGCTCCCATCCGTGGGCCAAGCATTTGGGAACCGCAACTCATATCAAATGAGGCCAGAAGAGGTCACGGGACTTGCTGAGGACCTCCAGCGAGGTAGTGTGGGCATCTGCTTCCCCCTCCCTTTTCTTTCTCTCTGTTTCCCAGTTAGAGGCACAGACACCCCCGCCCCGACTCACCTCGTTAGAGGCAATTGGATCCCATCATTTAACATGCAGAGATCGGAGTTATTGTGTTACTAAGTGAAGTTTATTTTCTTTATTATTATTATTTTTTTTGTCTTTTCTGTGACCGGCCGCATCGCGCTCAGCCAGTGAGCGCACCGGCCATGCCGATATAGGATCCGAACCTGCGGCGGGAGCGCCGCTGCGCACCCAAGCGCTGCACTCTCCCGAGTGCGCCACGGGGCCGGCCCAAATTTTCTGTTACTGTGTACATTTGTCTGTCTATCTGTAAAGCCATTTAGTCAAAAATGATTACCCAGATATATATAGTCATCCCTCGATTCTTGCTGGGGATTGGTTCCAGAACCTCCCTCAGGTACCAAAATCTGCCAGTGCTCAAGTCCCTGATATAAAGTGGTGTAATATTTGCATATAACCTATGCACATCCTACTGTATACTTGAAGTCATCTCTAAGTTATTTATAATACTTAATACAATGTAAATAGTTGTTGTGTTGTATTGTTTGGGGAAGAATGACAAGAAAAATGTCTGTACATGTTTAGTACGGATGCATTTTTTCCCTGAATATTTTTGATCCACTGTTGGTTGAATCCACAGATATGGAACCCACAGATACAGAGGGCCGACTGTATATAGGAAAATTCTTCATATTTTAATATGAGTCACGTCTCCCCTTTCCCTTCCATAACTCCCCCTTCTCCGCAACTTCTTTGGCCATTTTCTGGTCCAAGGACCTGTCCCTTCCTGTCCTGCCCCAGGCTGCAGAGTGTTCAGATGCTGTATCAGTCAGGGATTATCAGGTGCAAGCAACAGATACTCTAACTCATGTAAGAGATGGGATTCTGGAGTAGCTGAAAAACCAGGTCTTGGGAAGAGGATCCAGGCACCAGCAGCTGACAGTCACTTCGGGGAAATGCTGTCAGAATCAAGGAGCTCTGACAGTGTCACTTTGCTCTAGATTCAAGTTTCTAGGTGCGAGAGTCTGATTATCAGAGATTGACTTATACACTCAGCTGCTGGCCAGAGGTCTGGGCACTTTGATGGGCGGTTCCACCAAAACTACCTGGCTGGGAGAGGGACAGGTCCCCCTAGAAAAACCAAAGTACTTGGCCTCATCCTAGCACTGATGCCTGTGTATGTTGGAACTGCAAGCATTTCAATTAGGATGCTTTTGGCTGCATGTAAGAGAAAATCCAATTAACAACGACTTCAGTCAGAAAGATGGTTACTGTTTTTACGTAATAAGTAACCTAGAGGTGGAAGATGCCAGAGCTGGTTTGCAGCTCATCAGCATCAAGCACCCCCATGCTTTCCATCCTTCTACTCCATCATCTTCAGAGTATCAATAATAACCCCTTCATGGCCCCCAAAAGGCTGCTGCAGCTCCAGACATTCCATCTTGACCTGACAGTGTCTAAAGTGGTAAGTGAAAGAAAGTACAGCAATAAAAAAATGCTTTTTCCTCCCTCATCTCTCTTTACAGGAAATAATAGTTTTCACTGAATGGTTTTCTGTGGCTAGACCTGGGACACCTCCAGATCCATAAACTATAAGAGATAAACAGGAACGGGATTGTCTGTCTATGACCCATGGGCCAAATCTAGCCTGCTCCATGTTTTTGTAATAAAGTTTTATTGGAACACAGCCACAACCATCTGTTTATGTATTGTCTGTGGCTGCTGTCATGCTACAACAGCAAAGTTGAGTAGTTGATTGTGGCCCACAAAAAGCCTAAGCTATTTCCTGTCTGACCCTTTATTACAGGACAAGTTTGCTGACCACTGGCTTAGACCAATTATAGCTTGTCCTCTGGGCTGGGTACTCGGCCACCCAAAGAAAATTAGGTTCAGCTAGCAAGAATGGGAAACAAAATAGCTACAGGGTAGACGTAAATATTCCGCCACAAAATGTTAGTTGACATTTTTCCAATAAACAAGAAGAAATATGTAATAATAATAAAAGCTTCAGCTGGTCTTCAGCTCTGGCTATGTGCCCCTCAGGTAGCCGGGTGCACCGTGGTCTGTGATTTATGGAAACCCTGGCTTTCTTCCGAACAGGTCTGTGCGTCATGATTGCGGCTTCCATTTACACAGACCGGCGCGGAGACCTTCACCGCAACAACAAGGAGTGGTACTCCCTGACCTCGGAGGGCAGATACGGCTACTCCTTCATCCTGGCCTGGGTGGCCTTTGCTTTCACCTTCATCAGCGGCATTATGTACCTGATACTGAGGAAGCGCAAATAGAGTTCGAGCAGCTGGTCGCTTACACTGCAGTACAGAATCCACATTCACATAACCGTTTTGTATATAATCGTTTTTTTTTTTTTGTGGTTTTTCTAGCAAACATATTGTTTCCTTTAAAAGCCAAAAAGAAAAAGAAAAAAAAAAAAAGAGAGAGAAGAGTTTTTGCATTCTTGAGAGGAGAGAATAGACTATGAAGGCTGGTATTCAGAGCTCCTGCCCACCCGAAAGTCTCAACAAGACGAAAACAAAAATCCAGCAGTGCTGAAATCCAAAAACGCTCAGCAGGATGTTTCTTAACCATGGGGCTGTAATGGGATGAGACAGGACTGAGAAAGCCAGGTCTCGGGGGACATGCTTCCTGTAAGTTTTGGCAGGGACAAGCCCTCCTCCCCTCAGCTTTCCTTCCTGAATCTCTGTTAGTGGTGGAAGGTGGGCTGAGGAGGGCCCAGGTGAGGGATATTTAGCCCAAGGTCCATATGGGAAACAGGTATAGCCCCTGGCACTCTGTCTACATCCAAACCAGATCCCTAACTCTCCTGTAATAGGCTGGGTTGAAAAAGTCCCACCCAAATTTGCAGACAGTGTCTCCTGCTCATCTTAGGAATGGTGATCCTTAATCTGGGTGTCTGATTTAGGCTCATCCTAAGGCAATCAAAAGGTGATTCCTAAGAACATTCTTTAAAATGTAGACTATTGGGCCCCACCCCAGACCTACAGAATCAGAGTCTTCAAGGGATGGGGCCTGGGAATATGCATTTCTAAATCAAGTGATGCTTGGACGCATTAAAGTTGGGGACCACAGTCCCCAGGCCAGGTGAGCAGAGCTGCCTCATAAATGCTAGAGATCTCATCATGTTGAGATGGGGAGGTAGGTTTAGCCCCCACTGCAGGCCAAAACCATGGCCTGCATCAGCTCTTGATTCTCACTGTCTCTTCCTCAGCTGTTTACATCTGGGTCACCCAAACTCTAGTCCCAGGCCATGTGTCCCAATAGCCAGACCCCTTTCCCACCCTATCTTGGAAAACCTCTCTCTTCTCTTGCTGCCTTGCATTCTAAGGCTGGCTGGCCTCCACCAGCTCCTATTTCTAGGGTCTCAGAGGACTCATCCACCATTCATTCATTTATTCATTCATTCATTGACATAAATTATGGGGTGCTTGCCATGTGCCAGGAATAAGGGACACCCTCTGTCCTTGTGGGGCTCATAGTCTAATGTAGGAGACTGATTAAAAACCAGTTGGGAAAATTAATTACAAATGGTGATGGAGGCTGCAAAGAAGACTGCCAAGGATTTTAAATAGAGGCCCTCGGGTGGGCACCTGCTTTATGTGCGCCTGTCTTAAAACGCTCCTGGAGGCATTTAGATCAGCCTAAATATAGATCCATTCTGCTCCGGTAGATGGAGCTGGGTACTTACTGGGCAGTGCCCATCTGTGTTGTGCCCAGAGGACACGTCCCTGGAGGGTCCCACTGTCCTGACAGTGAAGGGAGCAGTGAGGGGGTCCCAAAGAGCCATGGTGCAAGCCTTGGTGGGTTCCACTGCCACTCGGGAGAATCTGACGCGGCAGGGTCTGGGCAAACGAGCACTCCAGGTAGTTCCAAGACTATTCTGAGAAATAGGGCTTATCGTGAGCTGTGTGGCAATGCCGGCCACCCCGGGAAATGCCCCAGGATAGAAGCTCTTTGCACCTCAGTGTCTTTTTTCACTTGTGATTTGAACATGGTTCTGGGGAGTTGTGCCTGGGACAGGGTGTGGGAACCTGTGCTATTTAAATACTTTTGCACTTGACCTTCTGCTAAGAGGAATGATGATTTGCCATCAGCTCAGTTCCACTGAGCTGGGAAAAGTCTTGTATGCGTAGTTTTAGTGCCACCATGGATACCTCTTCAGTGCAGGATTGGGTCTCTCCGTCTACTCATTCATTCATTCATTTTCAACAAATGGTATTAAACGTTTACTATTCCAAGCACTGTGTGAGGCTCTGAAAACACAGGGGTGAGCAAATCCAGACATCCTCCCTGCCCTCATGGGGTTTGCACTCCCTAAGATGGGACCTCCTCCCCATGGAGAGGCCACCAGCCCAGTGCAGGGTGATATGGGGCCAGAGACAGGACAAATGGTCACTTCCTGCCTTGAGGGAAAACTGCCATTAGGCATTGTCGTGGGTAGGGTGTGTGTCACAGCTCTGGAGTTTGCAGGATGCTATATAAGCCTCATGGAGGAAGCTGGGTCTAAAGTGTCCTTTAAACTTTCTACCCAGGTGGTTTTTTTATAATTTTCTGGTAGTCACAGTGGAAGCAAACAAACAAAAAAAAACACCTTAGACGCGGAGATCTGGAAAGTCTAATTCCGAAGCAGTGCATGAATTCCCTTCACAAAAAATTTCAGGGCTACATGAGTATGTGTGTTGAATGCAATCTGAAATGACCCTGTGGATTTTCCTGGCTGGTTGCCACTACCGTACACCATTCAGTGCCCACATCCATCTGTGACACCAAGATGTTTTGAGACATGAGAGATGCCTCTTCCCTGCTGTGTGACATGCATTTGGGAAGTTGGAAAGAAAAGATGGTGTCGGGGAGAAAACATCTAACCTTCTTACCTGTAGGCAGAATCAGCCCTCCCTTGGTGCTTGTTATCAGTTATTCAAGAACAATGACCGCAACAAAATTAGCTAAGACATCCAAGAAGTAACTATAAGGACCAAATATATTACCAGGTAACAACTGCATTTGAAGGAACTGTAGTCTGCACATCTTACGACATTTTTATAAAGTACTGTGATTCTTTCCTTGAGGCGCTATGTGATGAACACAGACTAACTCATTTTGTTATTTGCATTAAAATTATTTTGGGTCTCTGTTCAAGTGACTTTGGGGAATGCTTGACTTGTTGCTCTGCGTGAATGTGTCTACACACACCTGAATGCAGGTGAATCAGAGACCGCCCCCACACCCACACTCTCTGCTGCAGGTTGCGTACCTGTGGGCACATCCCTAGTGAACAGGCTCAAGTCCTAGGATGCTCTGTGTTAACTGATAATGAAGAAACCTAGCACCCCACGCCCATATGTAAACACACTAAACACAGTAGCCCAGGTAGAAGCTGTACCATAGTTTAAAATCTGTCTGGGCGGGGAATTACTAAACTCGCTATTAGTTTAAAGGTTACTTACAGTACAGCAGGTTGGACAATTTTGTGGTGATGGGGAAATGTTGGGGAAAGGCCTAGCAGTTACATTTGAATCTTGTTTTGGGAACAATGTGATTTTAGGGTAGTTAGACACTTTCTACTTAATGTACCTTTAAAATAGTCCGTTTTCTATGTTTTGTATAATCTGAAACTGTACATGAAAAATAAAGTTTAAAACCAAATTGTCCAGAGCAACAGACTCTAATGTCACACCTGTGATAACATCTAGAGTAAAATGCTGCCATTTTGAATGGTAAAGGGTCATTTGATTTCTCAAGATGATAATGTATGTTTTTTACAGTGAGCAACTGATGACGGGCAGTTCACTGTGGGACAATCTCGCTCTCTCTGCTTCTGTAATGCAGCCGGCTTTGTGTCCATAGAACCTGTGCAGTTGCACAGGATTCCATGTGCTGAGGGGCCCTGCGCTTGGTTGAAGAATCTTCTAGTGCCATCTTAAAATTCTTAATGATATTTGAGCAAAAGTACCCATATTTTCATTTTGCATTGGTCCCGAGAATTATGTAGCTGGTCTTGTCCTTTAGTTTGTATCTAATAAAGACCTCTGCTTTAAAGGGTGGGGTTGTGATGGAAATCAGTCTATCTCTACAGCATAATCTGCTGAAAAATGAAAAATTCAGCCAGAGAGAGGAGGAAAGAGATGTCTTTAATTCTTATCTACAGAATGCCAAAGGTCATAAAAGTTCTCTGTCTAGGAGCCCACACTTCCTTGCCTATACATGGGTTGCAAACTAAAATCTCTAGGGGCTTCTGTCTGTATTCTTTGTGTTTCTAGGTTATTGTTGTTTTGGTCCATGTGGCAGGTGGATAGTAATCACTCCAGAATACTCAATTTTGTATTTTCTTCCATTCAGGAAATCGGCCTATCATTCCTTCATTCATTCAGTCATTCATTCAACAAATATTTGTGTACCTGTTATGTGTTACGTACATCAGCATGAACGTAGTCCCTGCCCTGACCTAGACTATTTTAGTTTCAATTCCTAGTTTCCAGGAGTTAGATTCTGATGGGTCTATCCTGGGTCACATGTTTTATCTTCATCATTCCAGTACTTGAACAGAGTAGGGAGTGAGACCAAATTCTATAAACATAAAGACCGGAGGTGGGGGAGGGGGAACAATCCTGTGGCAAGTTCCCACAGAAAAGGGTCTGGGAAGACATTTCAAATGGGGATCTTATCTTTGTCTAATCTAGGGCCTGCAAACTATAGCCTACGGGCCAAATCTGTCCTGCTGCCTGTTTCTGTTTGGCCTATGAACTAAAAATGGTTTTTACGTCTTTTTCATGGTTGGGGAAAAAAGTAAAAAGAATACCTGGTGACATATAAAAATGGTACAAAATTCAAATTTCAGTGTCCATCAATAAAGTTTTATGAGAACATAGCCATGCCCATCGGTTTAGATATGATAGCAGACAGAGTTGTCACAGAAACCACATGGCCTGTAAAGCCTCAAATACTAACTATCTGGCTCTTTACAGAAAACGTTTGCTGACCCCTGGTTTAACCAAGCAAGAAGGGATCTGTTTTTAGGAACAGGAAGAGATTTCCTGGAAGCTGTTGAGCAAATTCTTCCTGATGTCTTATTGGTCTAAGGAGCCGCATTTTCGTGCCTCACCCTATCAGTGGCAGAAGTAATTAAATTATCATTTGCTTTAAGATTAATTTAAGATTAACATTGACTTCTGAGCTTGGGACCGAATCACCCTCACTAAGGGGTAGACTTCTCACCCACACTCACCCACAAGAACAGGGGATCACCTGTGCGGTGGCAGCCACAGTGTCTCCTACCACTCAACCCTTGGCTTCTCCATGTCCGTGCACAGCTTTATAACAATTTTTAAAATTCTTATACCTTAATAAAATGAACCTTTCCCACGAGGGAGTCTGAAGTCTCAAGCAGTGACACTTCCAGCTCCCATTCCAGGGTCTCTTCAAGATGTGCTATTACAAGGGTACTTCAAAAAGTTCATGGAAAAATAGAATTAAAAGATAGTATGAATCTTTTCACAAATTTTTTGAAGTACCTTCATATTTTCTCTTCCAGGTCCAGATTTGACTGCTCATGGCATAGTAATGGATGGCTAAAAGTTAAGTCATAGCCTTCCAAATGTACCCCATGTGTAATGGGTAGAAGAAGAGAAACCAGAGCTGCCTGCAATAAATGCTTCCCTCTGCAAGAGAATCCAGTCCCCAGTGGCCACAGGTTCACCATTGTCCCTGAATACCAAAAAGTTCCTGCCCTGGTGGCAAGTGAGATTGGTGGTCGCTCAGTCCATAGCCCCTGGTTCTGCTCAATGTCATGGTCTCTCTTGTCCACTCTCCTCTGCGACATATATCTAAGATGTCAGTGGGATGGAGGCCCCTTCCTCCCTCCTATCGGTCTAAGTCCTAGTGTCTCAGGGTTGGATAGTCACGGACTCTTCTCGGTCACGAATGGGGTTCCTTCGGCCATGCAAAGCTAAGCCAGCCAGAGATCTTGTCTGGACCTAATTTTTTAGAAGAGAATTTTTTTAAACAGTAAGCATTGTTTGTTGCAACAAATGTTAGTATCATTCATACTACCGATCCTTATTTTAGAGCAGGGCTATCACACAAGTTTTGACAATCAGGAATCCCATAGCAGCTTAACTGGGTGGTTCTGCCTTATGGCCTTTTACAAGGTGGACCTAATTTTGGAGCCCAGGAATTCCTAGCAGCATGCCTCTGTGCATTACTGCAGCCTTGAGGCAGTAACTTCAAGTTGCATAATGCAAGCCATCTCACTAGTGGTGTGCCTTTGTCTGGTGAAAATGCTACAGGATCTGATGTATCTTTTCTGAAATCTCACACTCCTTATCTTATGCTTAGCTTTTTGCCTCCACACTACTGACCCTTAGTTCTGAGCAGGGCTTAACAAACTACCAGCTTGCCGGCCAAACACCAGCTTTTATATGGCTCATGGGCTGAGATTTTTTTTTTTTTTCATTTTTAAGAAGTTGTAAAAATGCAAAGAAGAATATGCAACAAAGACTTTATGTGGCCTGTGTATTAGTCCATTTTTGTGCTGCTATGACAGAATACCTGATACTGGATAATTTATAAAGAACAGAGGTTTATTTGGCTCACAATAGGGACAGCTGCATTTGGCACGGGCCTCAGGCTGCTGCTTCTACTCTTGGCAGAAAACGGCAGGGCAGACCACGGCTACAAGCAGATCACACGGCGAGAGGAAGCAAGAGAGAGAGGGAGGGGAGATGCCAGGCTCCTTTAAACAAACAGCTTTCGCGGGCACTAATAAACAGTGAGAACTCACTCATGAGTCCCTCCCGCCCTCCCCCCACTCTGCCCA